AAAAAAAATTGGCCTGCTAAATATGAGCATCCCTATTAAAAAACTAAAATGGCACCACTGCAGAGAAATAGAGAAAACTAGGTAATTTGTTTTATTATACTTGAATGATTTACCTTGTGTATTTTATGTCAATACACTCTTATAGATGAAATTATGCAAAGTTCCTACTTTCTAGTGAGGSTGAGAATAACCTAATAGTAATATAAATTAATTTATACTTGTATAGTTAGAATTAATAAATACAATTATTTGTCTAATATTGATTTAAATCTTAATTTTATGTTGTGGAAATAGGAAATTTAATTTTTAAATACAATATGTTGCTTACTAAAACTAAATTGAAGGTACATGAAATATTTTTCATTTATATCAATTTGTACAATTCTTAAAAAATACTTACAACTGCAGTATGACCACCATTTGGATTATTGAAGTTACTTTGTCCGGTATTAGTATTTAAAAACTAAATAAAAAAAAAAAAGTATTAGGTAATGATACAAGAGATTATGGTTGAATAAAAATGTATTTTTTAGAGTTTATTTAAACTTAAAAATAATATAAGAGTTAGATGTAGTAATTTAAGTATAACCCTATAAGACATAAATACATTGTACTTTTTACAATTTTGGAAATATTTGGTAAACATATTATTATGATCTAATAAAATGGGCTAACTATTGTATATTTAAAAAATATGAAATCCTATATCTTATTATTTTCTTAGGATTAGCTACAAATCAAATTTTTAAACATATCTATAAATCTAACATAGGCAAACATTTTTTAAGCAATTGAACTTGAATTGTTTAATTTATTAAACAAATTAATAGAAATGAGCATTTTTTACATTAAAAAAACATACCAAGGTACATTAATAACTTAGAATATTAATTCTATATAACTACTTCAATCAAAAACTACTATGTAGAAACCCAATTATGAACCAAATGTGCCAAACTATAGCTTCATAAGTAAATTATTTATATGCCTATTATAATACAAGATCTTTTCATATGCTCTAATTAAAATATGAAATTTACAATCAATATTTTGTCTATTTAGTAATAAAAAMCTTTTTTTACTGTGCAGGATATTAATAAAAACAGAAAATATCTTAAGCTTTAACTGATTAAACTACAAATAACCATTGTTTGTTTGAAAAAGAATGATATTAATTAAAAGTTTAAAAGCTTAAATTGATGCGATGATTTACAGGACAACTAACCACTACTACCCAYGCTCTGAAATACTATTATTGATAAGTTTCTTCAATCAAGCCAACCAAGCTCTCATATGTATTCCTCCATTGTGCTTATTGTAAAAATATTATATACAGATTGTACAAAATAAAATGAATGACAAAAAAARAAGTTTAAAAATAAATCCATTACCCTCAAAACAAAAATATAGAAATAAATAATTAAACTATATTTTAAAAACCTAAAAGTAAGCAAGTGTATGTCTAATCTAACTAGGCGTAAAACAACTTACATCNATTGTTGTTATTTATTTATTTGTGGAATAACTAAAAAATAATGAGTACAATTAATGTAGTATTTTTCATTCGATTCTGGTGAAAGTTTTTGAAATAAAAGAACAATAATTCAAATTAATAGACATTTTATACGTGGCCACTTTAAATAATAATTATTTATTGTACGAATTAATAAAATTAGAATCTCTGGCTAAGTCGCTAAAATGCTAAAAATTAAATATCAAAATAATAGGAAACTGAAAATCCAGACGTGTCATGATAAGTGATAAACTGATAACATAATATAGTACATCCAAAACCGTGGTAAATACGAAGATAATGAAGTTAGCGACAGATAAGCACGAATTCATGCTGATAAATAAAGCAGACGTGTATGGCAGTGGTCCCCAAAATTGTTTCAATATTATGATACCAAAAATAACCTAACCGGCTAACCGGTAATAATCGATGTATTCATCAACTTCTTTAACTCGTATAAAAACTTAATAAAAATACCAAATTTTACTTTTTTTTTGTTGATTTTATCGGTCATTGAGACCATACCGCCTAACAGATTCATATGATCCATCATTTTCTTCTGCTGCTACACTCCACGATGTATCTGGTCGAAACTTACCCACATCCGCTTTCACAGTTTCACGCAGTCTTCCCGACGTATTCGTGATCTTCCTAGTGGCCTCTTACCGATAGGATTCTCCTCAACAGCTGTTCTAACTATTGAACCTATTTTCCGCCACGCATGACCTGCCCACGTCAGGTATATAATATATAATATAGGTATCACTCTCCGTTGAGTTCACCATGCGGGTCGAGACGATTCTGTCGACCAAGGAAAAGGATGAACGCGAGGAAGAGGCCTTGCGAAGGGCACAGGGGAACGTGCGACCGCCCTGATGGAGAACGAAACATCCAGAGTGGTGGACTCCGGTCGGCTCGCCAATCGGATGACAGGCACGCGAATTCAAGGGCGGCGGACTCCGGTCGGCCCGAGAAGGACAGGAACAAGTCAAGTAAAACTTGTAATGCATAAAATTCAGATTGACCTTTGTTAATGTAAAATTTAATTGTTAAAGCAAAACTTTGAAATGCTCGAACGAGGTAAGTCGGGGAGCTGTCCCGTCTGCCTCCCACGTATGTATTAATATTTGATACTGTCAATAAACGATGGCGGCGCCGCGGAAGTAATGCGAAAGCAGATCCCGCGGCGTCGTCGGTTAAAACGGGGGAAAAAAAAAAAGGTAACACTCTCCGTAATATGTTTCTATACTGCATTCTGTGTGTTATTATTTATTCGAAGCAATCTTAAATCATAATCAGGAACAAATGCACTTTACCACCCCCCTCAAAATTTTCGATTTTTTTTTGGAACATACTTATATTAACTATTTAAGAACGATGGTGCAATCAAAATTTGTCGGTTAGTTAGGACTTAGTTTCGAAGTTATGGGCTTTAGAAGTTAGCAATTTTGCCTTTTTACGTATGAGTGCAACGTTGCGTTTATCACGTCTTTTACGATTCTTTTAATTTTTTTTTCTTGAAACTTGYGTACATTAATCAGTTAAGAACGATGGTGGTTTCAGAATTTATCGGTCGGACTTAGTTTCGAAGTAGTCAATTTTTGAAATTCAAAATTTTGTGTTTTTTACGCTTATTCATAACGCTATAATTAAAGTATAGGGATCAAGTTTGGGTCTAACAATTGTTACAAGTAGATAGTCGCTCCCTTCGCCTACCGGCTCCGGTCGCATCAGAATCTGCAATTTCTATTATACATATAGTATACCTAAGAAACACTCATGTAGTAATTTTGCATAATCTATGCGCCGTGCAATTCTATGCAGCACAAAAATATTACAAAATTTAAGCTATTTTGGTGTATTATTTTTGTTTTTACTCATAATACTTAATCACTTTAAAATTTATTTGTTGATTACTCTAATGTCATAAAAAAATCTAAAATCGGTATTTTATTATATTTATTTTCAAAAAAATATCAGAAATGTACAACTAAACTAATAATCTTAATCATTTTAAATAAAAGTTTTCGTAAACAATATTTGTAAAAGAAAAAATATAGGCAATATAATTTTTCGATAAACCAATAAGTATTTCGTGGTTTTTTGAAAATTAAATTTTTCAGAAATAGCTATTGCATTAATTTGTTTTAATAGAATTATCTATCGAATAACATAGTTATTAAAAACTCATAAAAATATGGGCTAATATAAAAACACATGTAAGCAACTGTTTTTGGAAATTAATATTCTACAATCGATATACTATATGTTTAAATTGCATTTAAATTTTAATATTCTAGACTGTGATACCTTAAAAGTAATATAATACATATTAAATTCACCATTTGCTAATTATGTGTAGCCAAAAACTATCTATACATTCACTAATATAGTTGTATATGTTATATGTATAAATGTATAATGAATAATGATTCCATTGAGCCATTGAGTAATTCAGAAGTTGCATGTAATAATACAGTTTAAAATAAACTGGTTAAGCATTTGTCATAAATATTATAACTTTCAACTTTCAGACTCTCAGAGCACTATCTCTTTGTCTTATCATGACGAATAATTAAACAATAATAGTTTATAATTCAAATAAGCTCTCGATTTATGTTGATTTAATCAAATTTGATCATGAGATTCAATGATTCATAATATATTATGTACAAAGAGATATAAACTACAGTTTTATTTATATAATATTATCAACGTATCAAATCGAACGATTTTGAAGGTATTTAAAAATTACGGGTATTCAAGACTGGAATTGAATCAAAACATAATAAAAAGTTTTAAGAACATTCACGTATTATTTTTTTATATTATTCTAAGTTAGGAATTCCTAACATATCATAAAATAAAAAATAATTAAGCATATAATATATTAGTAATTCTAAGGTTGGATATGTAAACTGTAAATAAAAACATTCAGAATATGATTGTATACTTAACTAATAAACTAATTGTCAATAGGTAATTTAGGATTGATATAATATTATATAAAGCTAATCATATCTGTTTGATAAGATAATTTGATTAAAATTCATGCAATTTCAACGTGTTATCTCCTAAATCCTGATTATATTTCACATGATGTTAAATTATTCACCTCATTTGGTTGCTATTTGTTTCATTACACTTCTACAGAAATACTYTACAATGCATAGTCAATGAATTCATCATACTTTTTATCCATTTGAACTTTTTAAATGTTTTTCAATTCACTTAGAACATTTTAAAGCTACAAGTCATTTTTTTGTTATTTTAAATCTAAAAACAAATAATAAATAAATTTACAAAACAAATAGGTTTAATTTAATCGTAGGCAAATTAAATTTATTCACTTGAAAAGTTTATTTTTATTGTTACAGATAATAATCAAATTCAATCAAATGCTCGATCGCACGAATACAGATACTACAGTTAGAAAAAACAAATCAAATCATACCTGTTTTTCCTGAATTGGTCATTTAATTGAAATCATTATAGTACGTATATAATATAATAATTTAAATATCAACACTTTCTAATAATTCAATTATACCTATAATTTTATTATTTTACGAATCGAATTTATAATTCTACAATTGTAAGCAATTTTCAGATCTTCGAAAATTAATAATATAAGCTACAATTATAAAGGTATCTACATATTACATGAAACATTTTGTACAGTAACAATCAACTGCAGTAACTTGTAAGTTGTAGCCATGTGAAGTTAAACTATGTACTGCCAATAAAAGGAAAAAAAACAATTATTGGTCTTATAACTAGAATATATTATTTATACGTAATATAGATCTAGATTAAAAATTATTGCCACAAGCCCACAAGTATGCATTATCGAGGAGTTTATACATAATGTATTGCAATCTAACCATACATGTAATAATATAATTTACTGAAAATTGAAATGTATTCAATAAGTACTATCAATTTAATGAAATTGTGTACTTATTATTACAAAATGTAAAGATGAAAATGAGAAACAGAATGATGTTGTGAAACAAATAGGGATTAGCGCTGTCAAACCTCATTGACGCAGCATGTCAAAATAGAGTATGGACTTCAGAAAAATTGTAGTGCATTAGGTCAATGTTTCATGATCAATAAATGGTACCTACTACACGGATTTACTTATCCTTCATTGTTTGATCGGAGATAAGTTTAAACAATTGTAACATGAATACTATGCAAATAATATTTTTCATTGTCATCGTATTTATAATAAAGTTTAGTTGTGGCTATATTAGCCATATAGGTATATACTATATAGTAATCAAATTAAATGTTTTATAATACCAAGTAGACAAGTGTATTTTGTAAGTATTTTCTACACAATTTATAAACACAATATTATATATACCTATATTCTCTTCCATTCTAAAATATTTTTTGATTTGAATAGTTTTGGAAGAGGTTTTAGGTTTCTAAATTATAAGTTTAGAAAACTTTATATTAATCCCGCTGTCTCCACGTATGGCTGTGCCTTAATTACTAGTACGTATGTACGTATATACATGATCACACTTGTATAAATAAACAAATTTAATAATTAAAAAAAAAAAAAATTAATACGATTTGTAAATATTTGATGATGGCTGTAAATAGAGTTATTTTCCGGTTAATGGAATCTTCAATTAAATTTTCAAATGTAAGCTATGGACAATTTTATGAATTTCTAACTGAAAAATAATTAGTTCATTTTATAGATTTTAATGAACTTTGTCAAAATTTGCATTTTAAAGTTTAAATGCGTACCTATAAAAATAATTATGTCTGTATCTTCAATATTTTAAACTACGTATAAAAGATATATGAGAAACCTTGAATTAAATTTCCAAGCTTTTCTACAAAGTAAATATTTTTTTATCGACAATAGTTTTAAAAAAATTTACAAAGTTTATCTTAGTTATAATATGGTAAATGCTAATATATACATTTGTTGAAAGTTTCAAGTGTTTACGGCAATTAACAACTATTAATTTATAACAATTACTAATAATTGTTGCCTTATCAGTTATTATGTAAAAATAGCCTAAAATCAGTTTTGCGTAAAAATTTTCATATTTACATTTTATTTACTGATTTTTTTTTTTTGCGTTATCTGCCGCTTTTCAAACTGAGAATTTTAAATTTTGACTACCCAAATTTTACCAACTAGTTTCACTCTTTTATCGAAAAAATGCTAAGTCGAAAATTGGT